CGTTCAAGCTGGTCAGTGTGCTGAATCCGAACAAGGCCAGGAGGAAGAAGAAAAGACCCAGACGGTTCTGGAAACCCGGAATGTCATCGGTCAATCCATAGAAGAGGTAACCAGACAGCACGGCGAGGAGGATGGCAATGGCGTAGTGGGTCAGCATGAGAATAGGGTTCCTGTAGAGGTTCTTCCACGTGCGTTGAGACAGAATGATGAACTGGCGAGTATAGCCAACGCGGACATAGCCCTTGCCGATTGCGCTGATGTGAATGTTGGGTCCCTCAGGGTTATAACCGTTGGCATTCTGTCCATTGGCGCCTTGAGCGGCAGTGATAGACTGCTGAATTTCATCGTGCGTAGAGCCGGCGATATCAGACTCGGCGAAAGATCGAATCAAGACGTCGAGATCAGTTCCGTCATATGCGGCAGGGGGAAGATCGTGAGGGTCTTCAGCATTGGCCGGCGGGACAAAGCCGGATTGATTTTGAAGCTTATACGATCCGACATCCTCACCTCCGGCATCCGATGAAGCAGCCGTGTCAACGGTGTTCTTGCGACGAGTGAAGAGCTCTCTTTCTTGGCGAATCTTGACGGAATCACGGCGGTGGTTCTTGGGACGCGAAGACGAAGACTCAACAAGGCTGTCGTCACCGATTGAACCGCCAGAAATGCTTGCGATAGACTTAACAGCAGTCGTGCTGCTGGGGCCCAGGCTGGCAACGTCGGCGTTCAGAGCTCCATCATCTTCCAAAGTAGAGGCACCGGCGTGCATGGTGAGATCGACCAGGTAATCAGCAATGTTGAAGCCTGGAGGGCACGAGTAGCCAATGTGGTCGAAGTAGGCCTGGCACTGAGAGAAAGGTCCTGAGTAAACCGCGCCACCACGAGCCAGCAGAACTAGTCTGTCGAAAAGTGCAACAATGTTGGACCGCGGCTGGTGAATAGTGAAGACGACAGTACGCTTGTAGTTCTTGGCCAACGTGACGAGGCATTCAATGACATTAAAAGCGTTGTAAGCATCCAGGCCGCTAGTGGGTTCGTCCAAGAACAGAATAGAGGGGCTCGTAACGAGTTCGCAGGCAATGCCAACTCTGCGCTTCTCTCCACCAGAGATACCTCGGCCCTTGCCTTCCTCAGAGCCGATAAGAGAGTCCCGAATGTGGTAAATGCCCAGCTGCTTCTCAACTTCGAAAACGCGTTGCTCCTTGGCAGCACGACCCATGTTCCGGGGCAGGCGAAGAAGGGCACTCGTCAAAATGGTCTCGTGCACGGTCAGGGTGGGCAGCATGGTATCCTCTTGGTCGACAAAACCGATGACGTTCTTGTATTCGATGTCTGTAACCTTTTCGCCGTTGACGAAGAAGTCGCCAGAGACTTGACCTCTCTTGTTCTTTCGTGCGAGAATATCGAGGAAAGTGGTCTTGCCAGCTCCTGAGGCACCCATAATGGCGGTCACCTCTCCGGGATGGGCCATACCCTGGATGTTGTTCAAGATTCTCTTTCCGTTGAGCTCGTAGGCGACGTTCTCAAAGTAGAGAGAGGCAGGCTTGTGATCAGCCATGAGCTTCAAGCTTTCGTCGTCGGAGTCGTCCAAAGCGATGGCGCCATATTTGAACTGTCGGCGAGAGAGGTACCACGTGAGGAGGATGACGGCGACAACGAAAAGGGAGCATGCGGCGATAATACTGGCGATGAGTGGGGTGTTGATCTTCTTGACCGGCCTTTCGTAACCAGGGACTTCGGTGTGGTACAGACACTCTCCAGAGCGACAGCTCAGTTGGATGCTACTGTCGCCGATCAAGGACAGAATCAGATCGTCCATGGCGGGCTCTTTGAAGGCACAGTTGTTGACGCCTCCATTCTTCTGCAAGCACTGGAACTCTGCGGGGCCCTTGATCTCCTCTACCAAGAATTCGCCAATGTCGACGGAGCCGTTTTCGCCACAAAGCATGCGGTCTGGGATGCAGTCGCATTGGATCTTGTTACACTTGTAGTCGGTGCTGTTCTGGCTGTCGTTGATATCGGCGTTTGAGCTGCACTCGTTCAAATGGCAGTAGAAGGATTCACGTTCATCGACCCAGACTAGAGCAGGTTAGCTTGGTCACTGTTCCAAGTGTACGGACGATAGGCCTACATTGGAAATCGCAGCTGCCCTCTTCTTTCTTGCAGGTAAAGGTGACTTGGGGGCGCTTCTCTCCGAGAAGGTCGGTAATCTTCTTGTTGGTGACATCGCAGATTTGGTAGTTGTGGTTGATGACCTCGCCGTTCTGGTAGCAGACACCGCCCTCCTTGGTTTCCATGAGTGCGTCGCAGGCCTTATTTTCTGTGCAGACGTTGCAGTTGATGCCGGTCCAGCCGTCGTCGCATTCGCAATTGTCACCGGTTCGTCGGGGTCTATCGGTGTTGTCGCCACGGGAGAGAGATCCACACACTATGGAGTACGTGTCAGTGATGCGCCAAACTTGTGCGACTGCAGGGCGGGGGAACGTGTGGACGTACGTGGATCGAGACAGTCATCGCCGCCGAAGCCCTCGGGACAGCTACATTTGCCGGTGAAGTCATTGCAGCCAGCAAACTGGGTACACTTGTGGGCAGGGAGAAGACAGTTGAAGCTGCGCAAAGGATGTATGTTAGCATTGGGGAGTTGAAGGCAGAGGTGATGGCAGCATGATCGCGAGATTGCGACCTCTCGACGGAAAAGCACTCACCATGGAGGACAATCAGAAGGCCGGTCGTCGAGTAAGGTGAGCTGGGCACGCAGCATATCGGCCGTGGTGGAATAGTTGCGCTGAGCCGAAGCAAGGAGAGGAAGACATGCCAGAGCCCCGATGAGGAGGCTCCTCAAGGCGGGAGGAGCCATGATGGGCGTGTTGAAGTGGCGGACTAGACACCGAGTCGGATGCCAGTAGATCAAGAGTGGTGGCGGGAGAGATGTCGATGTCAAAGGAAGGTGAGGTGTATGTTGGGAGCAGATCAGAGAGGGGAGAAAGAAGGTCAGATCATAGACTGGACTGAACTGGACCCAACGGAGATGGACACGGCTGCGAACAGAGCGGCGGAGGATGGAGGAGGAGTGGAAGCTCTTGGCCTGCGGGAGGAGGCGTGTGAAGCAGACGTGGATGACCTGCGCTGGACCAAGGCACCGAGCCGATAACAGAGGTACCACCGGCCGATAATAACCCGCAGCAGCAAGCACCCAGCAATCCAGCGCCCAGCAACCAGCGACGCGGCTTGCTGGTACCTTACTGCGGTACGTACCCGCTTCCGAGGTGTCTCCAGCTGGACGGGACGGTCCAATCGTGAGGTGGCGGTGGCGTCACAGTGGATAGATTTGTAGGAGACGTACCTCGACAGGCTGGGGACCCCACTATGCCAGTCGGAAACACGCATCAGCGTCCCGTGGGGTGGCTGAACCTACCGAGTTCGTACCGCAAAGAGCCTGAGGCTTCAGGTTCGTTGACCATGTGCATGGGTACGTATTCGTAGATACGTCCGGTGCCTTTCCATTGCCCTTAGCATCCTGTAGCTCAATCTGTCAGACATCTTCTCTTGTTCCCCAGAGGCCAAACCCCCGCCGTTTCCCTCGGTCAACCAGTTCCATGGGACGGGACGAGACAAGACGCTAAGAATAGTTCGACTCTTTGTTTCCCCCTCCCTCGAGTTCTCGGTGCCTATCTACGGAGTAGTGTGCGCAGTGTGTAGATGAGGAGTTACCTCAACAGCTTAGCTCATGCCGTCTACTGCCCAATGCAGACAAACATACAGGGAAGACGCCTGCCAACTACGAGATCCATGAGCATTACACTCTGCGACCTGACACTTACCACCAGCGACGTCGCCATTGAAACACATCGATACAATGCGATTGCACATCTAAGCGTAAAATCAAGCACCAGGCATGTCCATCTGCCACTCATCTGACTCTCAGGTGGATCTGCCACTTGCGGTGAACTCCATTCTCACATAGTTCGACTGGCCGAACCTGAAGGGACTATGGTACTTGATTCCGAACAAACAATAATCCATGGCACAGTTCAACAGAGTACAGATGATGGGCTTCCTCAGGGATTCTAGCCAGTGGCCTCACAAGCAACGTCGAGCCTGATGAAGTACAGCTGCAGGTGATTCCTTTAACCCAACAGATTATCATCTTCAGCTATGCCGATCAAGCAGAATAGCTCAAAGGCATCTCATACATGTTTAGCTACCTTGGAAGTAGAAACTGTCGCTGGAACTGGCACTGACCCGATACGATTCGATTCGATACAAACACCAAATTTTTAGCACACCAAGAGCTAACATCGAGTTCATCCTCGTTTTACTCGGTCTTAGTCATGATTCCTCACGTTTGTCACCGGAGCTAGAAGCTCCAGCCACAGCTGATCTCAGCTCGAGCCGATTTGATCTTGTTGCTCTACCTTTCCTTTGCTCCCCGCAGCGAATGGAACTTCACTCAGGTACCCAACATCCGCGGCATTATACTTTTCTCCAACAACCACAACCTGTGCATCTGTGCCCGCGGAGAGTCTTCCTAGTGGCAGACGGTCTCCAATGCGTACCCTGTTGACGGGCCATTGGCCTGCGTTAGGCCCGGAACGCCGCCGTGTGCTCAGGGTGTCCAATGTTTCTCTGAGCAGTCCGAAGACGCATCCCGTCCGTGCTGATACGCGGGATTGCCCTTAGTCGCCTTATGGACGAGGTCGGAGCAACTGTGCGATTGTGTTTGTGTGTGTTTGTCTGTGTATGTATAAGCAAAAGTGACCATGACTCTTGTTTGAGATCTCAGTTTCCCATAATCCCGCCAGCCTTGGCATTGTATCATTCCATACCCGGCGCAAATCGCAAAAAGCCTCGCTTCTCCACGTTTCTCCTACCCTCTCACTCACCAAGCTTATTGCTGCCCACTAGACCTCCTCTTCTCGGCTCAAATGCCATTATCCTGAATCCCCCAATCCAGCAAATCCCGCATCCCGCACAGCCCAGCCCCCCTTCCCCCTCCCCCAACAATGGTCCGGATATCGGCCTTCGACGTGGAGCAATGGATGGACGAGTACGAGACCACCCCGGGCTGCCTCAACATCGCCGAGACCTGCGCCGCCTCCGTCTCCGTAAATGACCTAGTCACCCTCTCCGAAGACAAGCACGCGCCCGGCCCCGTCGACCTCTCCACAAAGCTAGTTTACGGCCCCATCCGCGGCTCCGCCCGGCTCCGTCAAAGAGTCGCGGCGCTCTGTAGCGGCGCCGGGGCCGGCTCGAATGACTCAACTCCCGGCGTGCTCTGTGAAGACGACGTGCTCATCACGCAGGGCGCCATCGGTGCCAACTTCCTGCTGCTGTACACCCTGGTGAACCCCGGCGACCACGTCATATGCGTGTATCCCACGTACCAGCAGCTCTACAGCGTCCCCGAGAGTCTCGGCGCAGATGTCTCCCTGTGGAGGCTCAAGGAGGAGAACGGCTTCGTGCCGGATGTGAGCGAAATCGAGGCCTTCGTCAAGCCCAACACAAAGGTAAATCCTATCTTCTCATCCATTACTGATCCTTGAAACTAACTCCGTCCACCAGATGATCATCGTCAACAACCCAAACAACCCAACCGGCATCCCCATCCCAACGCCAGTCCTCGTCTCCCTCGTCGCCTTCGCCAAAGCCAGAGACATCATCCTCTTCTCAGACGAAGTCTACCGGCCCCTCTTTCACAACCTCTTCTCTTCCTCAAGCGGGGACGTGGATGTGCCCCCGCCCCTCACAACCTTTGGCTACCCCAAAGTCGTCGTGACAGGCTCAATGTCCAAATCCTACGCCCTGGCCGGCATCCGCATCGGCTGGATCGCCTCCGCAGACAAATCCATAATCCAAGCCGTCGCCTCGGCGCGCGACTACACCACCATCAGCGTCTCCCAAATCGACGACCAAATCGCCTCCTACGCTCTATCACCACCCGTCTATGCGCCGCTTCTACGTCGGAACGTCGGGCTCGCCGTTACCAACAAGGCTCTCCTTGAAGCGTTCATCGAGAAGCACAAGGGCGTGTGCTCCTGGGTGAGGCCGTTGGCGGGAACGACTGCGTTTATACGCTTCACCCACAGGAGCGGCGAGCCGGTGGACGATGTGCGGTTCTGCTTGGATGTGCTGAGGGAGACGAATGTGTTCTTCGTGCCGGGGTCAAAGTGTTTTGGTCATGGGAGGGACTTTAAGGGGTACGTGAGGATTGGGTATGTGTGTCACACCGAGGTGCTTGTGGAGGCTCTCGAGAAACTTGAGGCGTATATGCGTGTAGCGTTCCCGGAGTAGTAGATGTCTGCTTGAAGCCATCATGACATGCTTGGCTATTCGAATGGTCACGCCACCTCAATAAGCATTTGACGATGTGATCAAGTGTTGATCAATATGAGTCTCAGGTCTCATACCTCATACGTTCTGTGCTGTTCAGGCAGTCCAAGAACCTGTTCTGCTGCCGACCTGTGTGCCACGGAGGCTTTATTTTTGGAGTTCGAGCAACGGCACATTTACTGACCCAAAGCTCTCACTGCCTCATCCAAGGAATCTTGACTCTTCACCCCTGCTAGTCGATGAGCGTTGCTGAAGACGAAAGCCATGCACCGCCGAGATGTCTTCTCGCTTCCCATTCAGAACGCTCGAATTGAGACACATCTCTCTCCGGCACCATTTCAATACCTTACACCCACCCAGTCGAATCCTAGTCGTCTTTGCGAAGTAAATATAATTCTCGGTGCAGGTGCAGAGAGACTCCAAGACTCTCCATGTCATAACCGGAGCGGTCGTAGAGTACCCAGCTTTTGGCTGGTATGCCAGATTCCAGGCAGATATTCACCACGAGGAAGTCTAGAGATCTCCAACAAATTACTTATGCAGGAGATATTTCTCTTCAATTTATGCAAGAGCCACTTATTTTGATTCAGCTTGGATTTGTGGAAAGAAGTAAACATTATTTACGTTGAGATCATTGGTTGTAGAAGCTCCCACTACAAGACGTTGCGCGCGGTCTTTCTGGCATTGACAAAATTTGTTCTACAAGTCCTGTCGGAGGCCTTACAAACTTTGAAGCCCACGTCTCATTCCCCGCCAATATCCCCATCAGATAGATGCCAAACGGACATTCCTATGCGTACGTCTGCCTTCGTTCCTCTGGTATATCCGTATGAAGCATCACAGAAGGTACGTCGTTAACTTCCCAAGCCATGCTTTGGAAACCAGGCTTTGACCCTATACTTGAGTTCCTGGAAGCACCCAGCCGCTAACAGAAGGCTAAGCATAATTGAAAGCATTCTCCCTGTGCTCAGAATTCGCTGAAAACTCATCAATAGTCTCAGGGTGAGCCCCATCCCTCAGAGCGATCGTGTTTTTTTTTTTTTTTGCTATGACTCTTGTGTCGACACAAGCCAGGGCCGCCTGATCAGTTGGCTGATGCTAGTTTTATCCAAAAAGCAATATCTCAGGCATACTCGCCCTTTCATCTGCAGTAGTGAGCCTACCTACACTGGATATCTTAAGCATTTGGGCGCACTCGATCACTGCTCCAGCCGTGACAGAAGGCATAATCAATCAAGATTATGTTCTCTTATGGACGAAAAAATGACAAGCCATTTCTACGTTGAGCGCGTAGGCTACAATTGTACATGGCACAGCAACTTCTCTAAAAAAAATCGCTTTGGTATCCTTTGCACTCGTTCAATCCGGAACGAGGTTCGCCAAACGCCGGTATCCGGTATGCCGGAAGACTATTATACAAACGAGATTCAAGACCTTGCCTCAGGAGGGCAAGTGCCCCGTCCAACCTGTATGTGTTTTCACCCTTCAAGACTTCGTATGTACCAACAAGATAGCCTCCAGGCGTTCATTCGTTTGCAACAAGCTCATTGCCTTCAGCCGTAATCATTAGATTGAATATGGTTCGCGCGATCCCAGCTCAGGCCGTCACCTATCGTCGTGAGGCCTGGCACTGGAAGGTTCTATCACGATTTGCGGCACTTGCTGCAATCGTAAACTAGGTAGTCGTGGTACTCTTGAGCTCCGGCGCGAGTCTGCGGAGTTGTTCGTAGTCTGCTCATCTGCAGCCAGGTCGGCCATGCTCGAGGCAATGCTCTCCGCTCGTTGCTGGGCAGGGCCGGGGTACGTCGGCGGAGGCTCAGTGCCAGGTTGAGGGGTGTTGCTCCTGGACCGCTCGTCATCCAGCGAGACTTCGTCGTATCCAGGTGGAGAGTAGATGGGCATACCAGCGTCTCCTACGTCAGCTTCAACGTCCGGGCTGGACCCTGCTCGGGTATCTAGGCGGGGGGTATCTGGTCGAGAATTCGCCCGTGATCTAGAAGCGAACCCTGGCGAAGGTAGGTCGCTTTCGATGCTCATTACAGAGCTGCCTCTCCTGTGGTTCATGGCTGATCCGGCCCCAGATCGGATTGAGGTGGCCGCAATACTGGCGGAGTCTGACAGCAGCCCCATCCTCTCACTCTCATTGCTGTTGGCGCGAAGTCGTGTACCGTCGTGACGAGCAACACCGAGGTCGGCGTAGGAAACACTGGAAACAGCTCTCTGACGTTCATTCTTCAGGCGTTCATGTTCTTCTCGGAGCACAGCGACGACGCTGTTATTGCTGGCAGCCCGAGCTCTGGATCGGATGTTGTCCAGAGCTACAAAGTCGCCACGTTCCCGAGCTTCCCGGCGCTCCACTCTCCGCTCCTCCCGCTCAGCAAGCTCTTGACGGCGGGCTAGGCGAATCTGGTAAAGAGCCTCCATCTCCTGATCACGCAAATCCTCCTCTGTTTCTTCCGTGGGATATTCGATAACCACATCGACACCACCGCGTTCACCTTCGCGACCCAGAACTTGCTCGGTTTCGTTCGGATCAGGCCGATAAGCAGGCAGCGTCATAATCGAACGAATCGAAGTATTGCGGTTGACAGCGCTGTTGGGAGACCGGGCATCGGCCTGCGACTGATCGGCCGAGGCATCGAATGCGACAGAAGAGGGGCGGGATCGACGGCGGTCGGTCAGTCGCTCGGTAGAGGTGGAGTCTTCATCCTGAGCCTGGCGGTATCTGTTTCTGCCACCATTTTTCAATATTGATTTGAAAAAGCCACCGCCGCCAGGTTTCTTGTTGTTGCCGCGGGTAGAGCGCCGAGATGCGCGGAGGGAAAAGACGACAAAGGCGATGAAGATGAGGAGAACCAGTACACCGAGGATGACCTTTGGTGGTATGGCGTCAGCGGCTTGTTCTAGGGTAATGGAGGACGGGAAAAGAGTCCTTCACATGTCTTGTCACTTACAATTGTGGTAATTTTCCTGCCGTCGATTTCTTCACGACGTTGCAATGTCGCAGGGTAGCCGGTCTGGAAACCGGCGGAGAAGTCGAGTGGTATTCGCATTTTGAGGTACATTGCGTATAACGAGCGACTGGATTTCGACAGAGTACCGGAACGGAAGGGTCGGCGGTTTAAGGTCGAGAGGCGCTGGAGTTAACGGCGAGGCGGATTAAGGCGGGGCGTCCCAGCTGCGCAAAGCGAATAATAAGCGTCAGGACTGGGACATTGAGACTCGGTAATTGCAGGGACGCTTATGGGGACGCGTTGGATTGGAGACGAGAGGATGGCGATGCAGGTGATGGTCGAAGTGTTGTGGACGTGGGAGAAGTCGAGAGGTGAGGTGGGAGAATAAGAAGGAGGCAAGCAACAGTCGGTTGATTGGCGGTTGGAGGTGAGATGAGGTGAGGTGAGGCGAGAAGACTGACGGGACCAGGTCCAGGCAAGGTGCAGGTTGGTACTTGGTAGGTGGTAGCGGCGCCGTGGTGGTAGTAGCACAGGGTCAACCTCGAAAGGTCCGGGGTTCCAGAAGCAGGCGGCGAGGTACGTATCCGTGCCCGTAGACTGGGTGTAAACTTGTGCCTCGTCTCTGTGCACAGTGCTGTGCAGCGCAGTGGGACTTGGTGGTGAACGATGAAGGGTCCTTTCGGGTGGGTGAGTGGGTTTGATGGATCCGGGAAGGGTGTGAGCTTTGTGAGGCTGGGAGGCACGGAGCAGCAGGTCGGTGCCTTGCCCTTGAAGTGCTCTGTATCCGTATGCGTGCTTGGTCTTGGTAGCGATGCAGGAGGGAGGCGGAGGCGGAGGCGGATGGACGAGAGGCAGCAGCGTTGCTGGATCGGATCACCGCTGTCGATTGTCTCTTGGTTTGCCTGAGTAAGGTAATCAAGGCGGGTATCCGTAAGCGTATTGCGTATTGCTTGTTGGATGTTGGACGTGGGACGTCAGGATGACCGGGCTGGCGTATAGTGGACGGTTGAATAAGTTATGTGTATTGACTGATGGATTGATTGGCGTTGTTTGGAAAAAGCTGTAGTGATGTTGGTTGCATAACCTAGTATGTAAGGAGAAGAAGAGCAGACGGAGGAAAGGTGAACAGGCAAAGTCTCGGTTGATGTCGCGGTCGAGGTTGCGGGTGAACCTGAGATGAGGACGAGGACGAGGACGAGGATTGCGGATGCCTCAGCGCAGCGCAGCAGGACCTGGGTACGTACTGTGTAAGGTAGAGCTTCGACGGAAGGCAGGAGGCAGGGACGCAGGCACGAGAAGGAGGCAGGAGCAGAGCAGGATGCAAAAGTGGATTGTTGCAGCTGCCCACGGCCGCGCCTGCAGCTGCTGTTGCAATTGCACCTCAGTCTGCGGTTGCCCTTCCTAGCTGGACCCCGAGACTCCTTCTCTTCCATTCTCTCTTCCTGACATCTTTTTGGCAGACTCACTGACCCTCACTCTCTGGCCATGTTTCAAAGGTACTTCTTCAACAACCCACTACAACGTGAGAAACGAGGTACCTCGCACAACAAACATCCTCCACTCCCCCTCGAGGTGGGCCGCCTCGTAGCTTACCTTAGCGTCGCTCGTGTATGTTCCTTAGTGGGTGCCGGCGGCGGGAAGAATCTATGCGCTAACCTTGTCCAGGTTCTACGTTGCTCTGCGCGCCGCTCATCCCGTTGCAACTCTGCTTGAGGACGATGCAAGTCGTCGCGTCCTCCCTCTCCAATTCTCTGATGCTCTCTCTCCGAGGAGTAGTCTCTAGTGTCTCACGTACGCAGCTGCACTAGACCCCGCGGAACGGATTCGAGTCAATGGCCACGGCCTTCGCCGTCAATGATATCAGACAACACAATCCCGACTGTTCTCAATGCCGCTCCGGGTAGACATAAGATGGCAGGCCGACCGAACCGCCAATGAACCAATGAACCAAGCTATCAAATCATTTGAGTTTACACCAAATCAGCGAACGCCGTTCATCGAATCATTCTCGGCGTTTTCCAACGTACCTATCTGTGTACCCGTACACGAATACATGACACCGCCATACCTCCCTACTACACACTCCGTGCTCCGTACTCCTATCAGGAAGACTATCTGCAAACACGGCCCGGGCGAAACGTGAAGGAGAAGAGGCCTGTCCTCTGCGTCTGTCAAACTTCACTTGCAGAGCAAACAGCGAGTCTTGTTTCTCCAATCAACCCCTTTCCGCACAGGGCGTTCAATCGAATCAATCTGTCTTCCTCCGGGGTTCACTGAGCAACAGGAGCTTCCATTCAAATCACCATATGACATCAATCACCCAAGTACGAATGCCAAATCAGGACCATCCATACATCTGCAGTCAATATTCGAGCCCATGGCCGCTGCGTTAGACACCCCCCAGGGGCCCCAACTTTCAGTCAGCCCAACCCAGACCATCGGGGCGTGAGGCAGTGCCCAGGGCAGGGCGGTGTTGGTGTTGGCGCCAGTCTTGCTCACCCGCTCTGCACAGGCACACAGGCTATGGAGACATCATACAGATTGGCGCTATCATCATCACTGGCGATCCCATCGCGCCGGCAGCCTGTCCTTGGAGCTTGACGTGTGGCTTGCGGCTTGCTGCAACGGTGTCATTCGGCCCTAAAGCTTCTGGCCCACGAAATGTCAAACCCCCCTCAGCTTTGCTCCATCGACTTCCCCGTTTCCTGTCTCTATTCAGGTCCACGGGTGACATCAGACAAAACCATCTCTCACGCCTGAAGAGTCGACGATGGGATTGATCTGTTCTTGACAAAAGGTTACTGCTCCCGCCCTTTCTGTTGATTTCATGCCCTAGGGCAGTGATTTCGCTTCCGTCGCCTGCCGTGTCACGAATTTAAGCATTAGCAGGGGCCTCCTCAGGAACGCCGTCGCTATGCCATGCCGCCATCCGGCTTGGGCTTTTCGATTGATTTGAACCCACTTGGCCAAGAAGAACTCGAGCGCTGTGTCTCCAGTTTTGCCCGGTAACGGTAAACTATTTCCAGCAACAAGCATCATGGCCCAGTAACAGTGCAACGAAAAACAAGCAACATCGACGCACCAGCCTCCAGAGGATAGTGTAGAGCAGCTCTCACCAGCCACCGACTGCTTCCCTCTCAGTACAACATGCGAACTAATCTGCTGCTCTGCCACTGCCCGCAGATATGGCAAGCTGGCAGGGTTCCCCGGGACAGGTGAGATAGCGTGGATAGGATGTGACTTGTGAGAAGATTAACCGCCAACATTGGGGCTGCCTGGCAGCTCGCGAGCCAGTCAAGGAATGGCAGGGATGCCCCGCGGTCTCCAGCACCGCCTCATCTGCATCATGATGACCATGTGGCTGGGGACGGAGGGGCTGCCGCCTGCGTGGGCTTACTCCAGCGCTGCAAGCAAGTCATGTCAGCCCAGTTACCTCGCCATCTTCATTCTTCGAAAGCTGCCGCAGCCCTTCTCGAGGACATATCTCGCATGCTGTCCCTCAGATTCAGTCAAATAGTTCCGAAATCAACACCTGGATACTAATACACGGTTTTCAAGACTTCCTCAAGGGCGCAACGCTATTCAGGAACGAAAGCCCAGCTATCATGCAAGTCTAAGACAGATGCACTTTTTGTCTAAGACATTTCTGCACGCCGGCTTAAATCACCCAATCGCCTAGCCGCACCCTCTAATTCGTCCACCTTCGCGAGTAGCGCTGACAGGACTTAAGGAAAGAGAGACGACTGGCCATTTTGCAGAGCGGCCATTGCCTGTAGGGCAGCCAGCCGTGCCTCGGGTCGGACAACCTAATAGTTAGGCCCGTTGTGTCAGCTCATTGGAAGACGCCGTCCAGCGCAACCTCCGCGCGAAATCTGGAATCATTCCGCATTGAGGATAAGGCGAAGCAACGTTGAATCGGTTCTCTCAAGGTGCCACAATCTTGACTTATACGAGCCGAGGCTTGGTCCCAGTTCCGCTGTCAATGTCTTCAAGGAGAACGAATTCTTATGTACGGAGTATCCGAGCATATTTATTATTCCGGTTGACGACAAACCATGCAAATGAGGAGTATCAGAGAGCCTGGGGAAAGAAAGGCATTCTTCTCCATCATAAGAAAAAGGCAAGACGCTATCACACCTGGCAACCCCATCCCGCTGTTTCACGGAGACCCATCCACTGTCAGCTGCAGCTATCGCTCGCAGGATTTATCACCACACATTGCGGTCTGTATCATGAATCCTGCCAGCCCTCCACCACATGCCGAGACCAACAAAGCCTCATCACTTTGCCACTTGGAAGAAACTAGACCTGGGCCGTTCTGACGGAGCGACATTCCGGCCCCCAAAAGTCGCGAATCCTTCCCCAGGCGTGCCAGGCCACCACGTTGTCAATCGCATCGATGCATAACGTACGGGATACAACTGCCGATCGACAAGATACTGTGAGATTGGTGTACTTTGCTTGCTGCCTGCGCTGCCCATTCATGACAACTCAAAAATGGATGCTATCCCTGATGAAAATCGCTATCTGCATCAATTCTAAACGCGCTCTAAAAGTGGTTGGGAAGCAATGCCGTTGCCGTTCTTTGAATGTGGAGCTGGGAGAAAGAATGCCGCATCGGAAAAGTACCTGGACCGAGATGGTATAAAAATTAAGAATAGCGCATATAACGCTCCGCTGTGAAAGTAAGACTGTTAGCTCCGAAGGCATGAATATAGGTTTCTACCTTGTCTTACTCGTGAAATATGCTAACAGGGGAAGCGTTTGTGAAAATCCGTAACCTACAAACCCGCCAATATTTCATCCTATCAGGAAAGCAGGCATTAGGGCTCTTGTTCTCGGGTTATCTGCATAATTCTCCCCGCATTCAGCTTCAGCGAGCAAATCTTGACGGCCGAACCGTGATCGGACATCTGCTTTGAAGAAGCTAATTGCTCTAGGGTTATCACACGCGGCTAGGATCTTCGTCAACGTCATGAGAAGGCTCTTTCTGAAGGATGAAATGCCACCACCAGGGCGAGGACAGAGTGAATAACGATGGCTCGTTGGCTCCTCATCATCGTTGGTGGCCTAGCGCTTGGAGGCGGCCGCCTCTTTTCAGCTTCACCCGTTTGAAGAGAAAGGGAGGAAGTGGAGAGGGGGGCAAGAGTGTGTACCGGACTAAAGGCTCTGCTACAAACACCCAGTCTCTTTAGTGAGGATTGGATGAGATGTCTCATTGACTGGAACTCCACTTAGCATTGATGATATTTGTGAGTATACACCCAGGCAAGAGCCCGACTTCTCAGCGAGGCACGCGGTATCCGGAATATTTGTGAACAGGAAAATTATCTATTGAGGTTACGTACTCAATGACCAAACTACCCAAAGCACCTAGGATTGCTCCCCCATTATGGAAATCAAAGAATAAAGCGAAAATCATCCAAACCATGAGTCGCCCCCTCCCCCTTCCCCCTTTCCCTCACATCGCCATCACGTACCCCAATCACCCAAATTTCTTCTCAAACTTCCTAAACATCCCCGTAACACCCTTCTCCAACCTGCCAACATTCGCCTCCAGCCTTCCCGTCGGGTCCTGCTTGCCCGTATACCCCTTATACTTGCCCGCCTCCACCTCCGTAGGCCGATACGCCTGCTGGTGAATAGAGTAGTCGAACGCTCCCGACTGCTGTTGCTGGCTGCCCCCGTTGCTACTGCTATACGAGTACTGCGAGAACCCGCCTGGCGGGGGCGACATCGGGGCCCCTGCAGCCGGGGGCGCGGAGGCCGCAGTCGTTGCTGAGGGTGGTGTCGGGGGAGTGTGGACGGCTCCGGCTTGCGGTTGGGGTGTTCCCTGCTGCTGTACTTGCGGCTGAGGCTGTTGAAGTTGAGGCGGCTGAGTAGGCGGCGGGGGCGGCGGCGCGAAGCCCGGGGACGAGGGGAACGGGCTGCCGTTCGCGTAGGGGTTGACGAGTCCCGGAGACGCGAGGCCGCCGTGTACGGCTTGCACTGGCATCGTTGCTGCGCGCTGGAGGACAGGTTGGCCTGGGGGCCCACCAAACTGCGGCGGTGGGGGAGGAGGAGGGAGGTCGATTCTCCCGTGTCCCTGTGCGCTTTGGAACCCGGGAGGGGGGACGAAGCCTGGGGAGAACGGGGCCTGGGCGTCGTAGGCGACGGCCGCGGCTAGCGGGTCCGCGACACCGTCTTCGGGGGGCGGGGTCTTTTCTCTGTGGCGGATTGTTTCTGGAGCAGCTGGGGCAGCGGGGTTGTATGCCATTGGTGCGAAGCTCGCCGGCTGCTCTTGTTGTTGTTGATGGGCTGATGGCGCGGCGGCTACGGCTGAGGTAGGTGGTCCGGCGAACGCTGAGCCGTTTTGCTGGTGCTGCTGTTGCGCGGAGGCGCCTCCTCTCGGAGAACCGTAGTTCGGGTCCGATATCGCGACGTGTTCTAGCTG